GTGTTAATCAAACATTGAACAACGGGCCCTAACAGCAAATTTCAAATGAATATTTAAACGGCACTTAGGTTGTGCATTGCAGTTTAAATTCCATTTAGCTTTCGTTGGGTTTCAGATCAACTCTATTTAAATATGCCAATCAACTGGCAGCACTGCTGCTTGTTCTTTGAAATTGTTGTTGCATTCGCTTTTTTGTTTACATTTTGTGCTGCACAGCTGATTTTTTTTTGTGGGATTGATTAAAGAACCTACCAATAAATCTTGGTTGTTTGGTACAAACCCAGGTTTTCATATCTCATATTTAAATAGCCAATATTGGCCATTTAAGTTCAGATTAAATGTATGATCTGAAAATGAATAGTGAAAGTTAATCAACAATCTCTACTTAAGTAGGCCATTTGAAATTGGGCCTAAGCCTTTTGACCACTTCGGTATGTTAATTATAGACAATTATTTTCCGTTTACCTTTACCATCCCTTGGCACATGACTATGCAGCATTATCCACCTCGCCTTAACAGTATTCAGAAGAAACACATCGTACACAGGACTGCCACCTTGGCTCAAACCGTGCCATTTTTGGTCGCATTTTACTTCAAATGGCACTTAATTTTTCAATTTGGCACTTTTGAAAAATAATAATATTTCAATTCATTGCCATTTGCGAAAACTACTTAGAAACCAGAAAAGAAGGTTTTATTAGAAATTATAAAAGTGTTAGGCATAAAGAAGAGCCTAAATTTATTAAAAGAAGTTTAGAAAATATTCACACATCAAATATTAAACGTCCTTTTAAATTTGCAGACGCTAATATTGACACTTATGCTCGCAATGACGACAATTATAACGGAAGCCCTAATAACGGTTAAGGGCCGTTTACATAAGACTTTCCTCGCTTTGCTTGACAGTTCGAACTTTGTCAACAAAGTGAAGCGTAGAAGGTATGCTACAATAAACACTTTGACAGCTTCTGCGTGCGCCTTTTCCTCCATATTATATCTGTAAAATAGATAACAATATAATAATACGCATTAAAAATAGCAATAATAATTCCTATTCACCTTATTTTTGTCATTAAATGCAAATGCAAGCGTACGAGAAAAGATACATGTAGACAGCTGATTTCCAAAGCGCGCAAAAGTTGAGAGTTGCCCTTAATTTTGCTTCGCTTTGCTTTCCTCGCATTCTATTTAGCAAGATTCATATAAAATCATGTATTGAACTTATCTGTCAAAGCGTAATTATGAAGCAAAGCGAGGCAAAAGTCTTATGTAAACGGCCCTTTAATCCAATACTAGAGGAACTGGGTTTTACAACAATACAGCTGAGAGTAGTAGAAATCGCGAATGAGACAAACACCATACTGCATATGGTAAAGCCAGAAGAGATCTGAAACCTTTTGGAAACCTTTTCAGAAAACATAGAAATGTCAAACATGGAAATAAGTAAAAAAAAGAATACTTTTCTCAGAACTAGACATATTAGTAGCGAAAGTTAAATCCCTACTCAGAGGAAAATTCATAGAAGTAAGCGAGGACTAATTAACGGAATCGACTCTTTGTACAACTGGTTATTCAGCTTGATGGATGACTCAGACAGACAGGAAATCGAAGAATTTTTAAGAGTAAATAGCGAAAATAACCACAATTTAATAGAAAACTCCAATAAACAATTTATTATCAATAGTATCTTTAACAAGTTTATATAAATACTGTACAAAAAATAGTAGAAGACGATAGGGAAAAAATTTTAAACTAACTTAATGCAGTTAATAAGGAGTTCATGCAACAAACATTATTCTATGAAAACTTATATAAAACTTCCTTTATAGAAGAAAGAGATAGATCAGAATCAAAATAATATGGCATCCGCTAAATATAATATACTGTTTCCAAGTATTCTAAGTAAAGAAGAGATATAATATTTTGCAATTGATTTTTATAAATTGAAGTTGGCTAGAATTGGTATAGTCATTTATAAAAACGATACTTTAGTTATGGTTAGTTAGTATTCTAAGTAAAGAAGAGATAGAATATTTTGCAATTGATTTTTATAAATTGAAGTTGGCTAGAATTGGTATAGTCATTTATAAAAACGATACTTTAGTTATTTGCATAAAAATACCAAAAAGCTATGTTATTGTAGAATTAAACTTAATAACTGCACTACCAAACAAAAATCACATAGCCAAATGAACTCGTAGTTGACATAAATAATAAAAACTATGTTTTTAAATAAAATGCGTTACTTATGGATTTATAATTAAGCAATAATTGTGTTTTTTCTAGCTCATGTCGATATAGAATAAATAATAAAACTGAACTTGTAGCAATAGAAGATGATACTCTACTTATAAAAATGCTTTAAATGAACATGTATATCAAAATTGCTCAAAAAGAAATATTACTATAAACGGTAATAACCTGATAAACTTTGCGAATTGTAAAATACAAATTTTAAATACTAAACATGTAAATAAAAAAAAAAGAGTTATAAGAAAGATTCCAAATTCAGGTGGACAGCAAATTGGAAAAGAAAGAAATAAAATTAAATGAAATACATTTGGAAAAGTTTGAAAATATAAAAGAACTAGAAGAAACAGGTTTCATATAGTATAAGCTTTACACTCAGCATAGCTATTGTAATTGTATTTATATTTTAACTTATCTTATAAGGAGAAAACCAAATTAAAATTGTTAACAAAGTTATAGAAAAAAATTCCGATATTGAGTTACGTCAAATTAAAGAAAAATACTGAGTTAAGTAACGAGATCCAGGAGAATCTCGAATCAAAGGCCCTAGGAGTTACGTTCCCACACTCCAGTAAATATATGTACATAGTACATATATATATATATACTCTAGACATACATACATATATTCTTATACAGTAAACACACACATATACATATGTATATACCCAGTAGGAATTAGGAGCACGTAATAATACCTTATTAGCAACTTACTCTTCACCTGGCAGTCATTACCATTTCCCTGCCGAACGTCCCTTACTTTTACAAAGGCATGGCCGCCTTATGTAAGTAGGAATATAGAATGTACATTTGGTATCAGACATACTTCTGAGCCGCTTTACAAAGTAAGTTAAGTGTAATGCAGAGAAGTCGCTCGGAGTAGTTCGGCGCTTGGAGATAACTTCGGCTGCACGTTACTTTGCAACTGACAACGTAATGTGTCGTTGGAGGTGTTCATTTTGTGCTTTACTAGTAGATGACATGGGCCATGATGACAATTTTGGTACTACAAACTGAAAGAAAACATGGCTTACCTCGTAAGGTGCTTACCTACTTTCCCAGTGGGTAAATGCATAACATTAACATGTAAACATATTTGAGCATAGAGTTCTGCTGAGTTGCAGAATTCGCTTGGTATTTCAAGGCCAATCAAGCTCATAACGGATATTAGAAGTAAGCAAAACTAACAAACATTATTCAACTTTTAGTCTTAAGATTCATTTCAACCAATAAAAAAATCAAAAGCGCAAGCTGTTTGTTCACAATTACGTTTGTTACGCGTGATTGCTGCGGTGAGCCGCAGCGAAACGGCAAGAGGCCCTATTGGTATCGAGGGGTGAGATCTCCAACAACACAAGCTCGAGCTCAGTAAACATATTTAAGCATACGCATGGCCAAATCTTGGCCGCCGCGACCGTGGATGGGGAAGAGGTAACAGCCGCAATTGACACAGGGTCTACTAGGAGCATCGTAAGCGATACAATGGCTCGAAGAGTGAAGGAGGACAGGTGTAGACGAGTAAAGGCGCTGGCCCAATGCAGGCTTGCTTTGGGTGCCTTGCTGACTTTAGTTTGCTTTGATCTAGTTTGAAAACTTGTTTGGCCGAATGGCGGCTTGAAACGCTGTCAAAGTAACCAGCTCTCTGGTTGAAAAGTCAATATCTGTTCCCTTAACATTAATTATTGTTTTCCTAGAAAACTCTAGAAGATGTATCAAAAACTTTCAGATTTATTTTTAAATTAATGCGAAATAATGTTTGTATTTAAAAAAACTGGCAGTAATGACACATACATATGTATATCTACATTTACTAAAAAAACTATAACTTAAAAAAGAAATTTACTTGAAGAAGAGCTATAAGAAGTTTTTTCCTCTCGTGTAAAATTTGTAAAAGTGAGCTTTGCAATTTTTTACTATAATATAACGATATGTTATATTTGATTTCGAGATGCTTTTTTTTAAATTAAGTAAGCAAATTTTTGTTTGAATTTATGTATTTTGAACAGGAACATGCCTCTTTGTCAAAAGCCTATAAAACGATTTCAAATAAAACATTTGTCTATTTAAAACTTTGAGGCGCTTAAAGCAAGTGAAGAAAAGCTGCCATTTGGCCAGCCTTTATACATTTCAGTATGTTCCAAATAATTTTTGACACTTCTCGGAGCGAAGCAAGCAAAGCAAGCAAAGCAAGCCTGCATTGGGCCAGTACCTTAAGGAAGCAAGTGGTGATAGCCATGGCAGAGGAAGAGTAATAGTCGATGCGGTTGTAATAAGAAATGCGAACACGAAATATATTTAAAGTTCTTATTACAAATTTTTATTTTTCAATTAATTATTTTTTCATTTGACTACAAAAAGTATCCACAGAAAAGATTTTATAAAAATTTAAATAAACAAGTAAATTTCTTAACAAGTAATGTCCTACATACTTCCGCCTCCAGAGACTTTGCTAATGTTGAAGTGTTTTAAAAAATCCGCGCCGATTATAGCGCTGTTAACATCAGCAAGAATGAACTCCCAAGCAAACGAACGACGTAGACTAAAAGTGGGAGCTATTAGTTGAGTGCCAAACGTGTTTATAGGTGTGCCATTAGCAGCAAACAGCTTGTATTTATCGGGCTTTTTGGATGATATTGCTGTTGACGGTAGTACTGACACATCTGCACCAGTGTCTATCTGGAAGTTTATGCGCGTGAGCTTATCGAAGATATGTAGGCGATTGATTGTAGAGTTCCGGCCACTAGTTTCATCTAGTGACCGGCCGGCGAGTTTCCCTGACGACGTTGCTTGAAGGTGCAGGGCTGTCGACAATTCCGAGCTTTAGGTCCAAATCGACGATGATAATAGCACCATTCTGATGTATTCGCAGCTGACTCAGCCTTGTAACGTCCACGAGAACTCGATCGACTCCTGTGTTGAAAGCGTTTTTTCTGAAGGTTACTTACTGCTGTGCTTAAAGTTGAAATTTGTTGTTGAAGATCTATTAGTTCAGGAAAAGATTGTACAGCAGCCACTGTTGATTGAGGTGCTGATATGGCTTGGATTTTATCCGCCATAACTGCGAGTTTATCAAGAGCTTCGGAAGATGTTGCTAATACAGCTTGTGTTTGTGAAGGCAGTCGTTGAAGCCACATAGTACGTAGAAAGTCTTCACTGACACCACCATGAGAGAGACCACGCATCTCCCGTAGAAGACAACTGTGTTTCTTGTCCCCTGCGTCCAAATCGTTCAATTACTTCTGAATTCGTTTCTCCTCCGATATAGAGAAATGATCGACGAGACGTTGTTTCAACTGCGTATAAACATTCTGAGGTCGAGCCAGAATAATGTCGCTCACCTGACTTAAAAGATCAGGCTCCAATTCAGGAAGAATAGTGAAATATTTCGTTTTCTCAGCCACGATTCCATGGTGTTCAAACTGTGCTTCGATCTGGGCAAACCAAACCAGCGGGTTTTCTCTCCAGAATTTCGGAACGCGCAGATGAACGGCTGATGATGAAGCATTCACGACGTTTGAAGCAGCAGCAAATGTATTACCAACTGAGGCTGATTCCTGTGATGAGGTGGCATTATCTCTGGAGCGCGTATTTGGCATAGTGTGCTCGGTCATTCGGGGTCACCAATTGTAATAATAAATGCGAACACGAAATATATTTAAAGTTCTTATTACAAATTTTATTTTTCAATTAATTATTTTTT